TTTGTCACAGAATAATAGTCTGTTAAAGGTGCCAAGTATGAAATAATTTGGGGACAAAAAAACAAACTGCATAGAAATCGGAATAATAGGTCTTTTGATTATCGGAGACGCATTTCAATGGACTTGATTACGGACAATGCATAACTTAAATTTCACCAGGAAATTCCGCAGTGTGCTCTCGCAATCGCGTACTTAGTCATTTTTACAAGGTTCGCCATTTTTGATGTCACGTGATAATTATGTAAACAATGTCTGTCCAGTTTGTGCGAACTTGCACCTCTATACTTAGTCTTTTGATATATATAACCTAAATTACTGTTCTGAAGGAGACAACAGACAGAGAATGTTTTATTTAAAAACGTCACAAAACCTTCTCGCTACCTTAAACTCTACTACTGGTTGCTGTTATTTCTTCTAACTATCTGGAGTAAAATAGATTTAAGCCACAATGGCTTTGACATAAAGGAAAAATACCATAATATTCAGACACTTGTCACAAATTAAATTATTCAACGACTTATTCTTATAGACATTCCAGGTGTTTAGTTTACCTTTCGGTGTGTGACATGTTTTTAAATGATCATTTTTTTTTTCAGAATGATATTTTTTCTTGCAATCCTATATATGGTAGTTTCAAAAGCACTTTTTTCTAAATTCAGTAGCTAGATCTGTTTCTGATCAGCACATGTCAGAATTTTTTTTATATATATTTGAAACAAATAAAAACAGGGGGTAGTAATGTGTTTGCCGTTGGTGGTGCAGTTTTTTGATCTTTTTTAGGGGTCCTTAGCCACTTTGTTGTAATCTTGTCTGTCTTGACTATAAATGTATTTATTGTATTAGTAGCACAGGCTGCATTAATGTATGCAAGTTACAGAGTGCATGTCTGTGGTCACAGTACCATTTTAATGATCCAGTATACAATATATTTGTTGCTTTATGTACTATTCTGATAGAATAATCTTGTTAATATAATCCGTATTTATGAACACTAATCTGTATTAATGTAATCTGTATTAATGTACAATAATCTGTATTAATGTAATCCGTATTAATGTAGAGTAATCTGTATTAATGAACAGTAATCTGTATTAATGTAATCTGTATTAATGTAATCCGTATTAATGTAGAGTAATCTGTATTAAGATAGAGATGCAGTTTACCTGACAGGTATTTTAATTAGTTAATTAGGAAACCAAGATGACCTCCCTTGTCCACAAAGCTATAGATTTTCGGAAAGCTTATTGTATGAATTTTAAAGTTTTGTTAGTATTTTATTTTTATGGACACTGTAGTTTGAAATATGCACAAAAATGTGCTTTTTGGTCAAAAGTGATTTAAAACAAAATTAGCTTCTAAACCATGCTTCTGTTTCCTGTCAAAATTTGTTTATGGGTACATCTGTTTACTTTGAAGAAAGCGCCGTCTTGAAAAATGTCTACCAGTTGTCAATTTTGTAGGGCAGCAGCTCCAATTTCACTACTTCAAGTTTATGAATAAATTAACACTCAGGCTAGTTGTCTGTATGATGGCTGTAACACTATTCAACTAAAAACAATGCCCCAACAAAGATAAACACATTGTCAATCATTTGTGAAAATTTCAAAACAAAAAGGTCAAATCGTCTACGAGCTATTTTTTTTTAAAGTTCTGGAATGTGCACTAAAAAGAAGCTGAGATAATTGCTAATTTGCATAACAATTCACTCAGTAAGAAGTTTGCTAATGCTCATAATTAAAATGGCTGTAATAGTCCCAAATTTAAATGTATTATCGTTTTGTTAAAAGTTAAATACAGTGCATAATATGCAGATCCCGTCATTTCTTTTTTTCACCAGGTTTTTTTTATATAATTTATGTACAGCTTTGGTAAATCTTACTAAGCATTCAAAAGAGAGAATGTTTGCACCTGTTATCTATATTTTAAAATCGTTTTTTTAGTATGTTCCACTATTCACAATTCTACAAAATTTCAACAGTTTAGAGCCAAGTCTTTTTGGATAATAAAAAGGGGAAAAAAAAAATTTCACTCCCAAGTGCCCACAAACCTGCATCTCTACCTTAATGTAATCCATATTAATGTACAGTAATCTGTATTAACATTCATTAACATGAACATTGGTGGCGCAATTTTTTGTTCTTTTTGTTTTTGCCTAAGCCAAGTCTGTCTTGACTACAAGTGTATTTACAGTATGAGCAGGGCAGTCTGTATCAATGTATGCAAGTTACAGAGACATTTCTATGTCTACGTTCTAAATAAGGCCCAATTTAATTATCCAATGTGCAATAAAAAAAAAACTTTTTGGTTTATGTACAGTTATGTTACAATTTTCCTTATTTAGAATCATATACAACTGCATGTTGATATTTTAAAAGTATACTTACTCGCTCCCCTTCAATTAACGACTCTTCGTGGATTTCTTGTATGCAAAGCACTACTGTCCTTCCTTGGCCAATGTAATGTGCTGCCTGAATGAAGAAAGAATCGTGTAATTGCTGTTAAGGGTAGATGCAGCTAACACTTTTGTTTGACACAATGTTCTTCCCTGTGACTATGGTTACATGTATTTGAGAGTCTCACAAAAAATTGGGTCACCGACCTAGTTTTTGGATTATGAACTTTGGTTGTGACAAGTCATTGTTTTTATGAAAAAGAGTTCAGAGACATTTTATTTTAATTAAAAATCTTTGTCATTCATTAAATACAATTTTTAGCTCAACAAAACATGAAGATTGTGTAAAGTTTTAACAATTTTTGCATTTTTTCTATCATGGTAATTTTTACTTGCTACCCTTTTCTGGAACAGCATTCATGAAAACAAAATAATCGGCAACAAGATCGGGTACTGAATGGCTGAAATGCTTGATTTTGATGAATTTCTAACATTAAAATGGTTGCCATTCTGATCATCCATATACATGCATATGATGTGCCTATAAGTTTTGAACAAGATCGATCAAGGTATGTCAGAGATATAGCCCCAAAACAAGCTTTTGTTGAAAAAAATGGCCGCTAGTCTGCCACTTTAACCCAATCTGGAAAAAAATTACATGCATCTAGAAGCATGGAGCAGCCAGTGGTGGCGCTATATACAATAGAGACCTATTGAGGCTTACCTTCGCTCATGTAGATTTGAGTGTAGAACGCAGAAACAGTTGTTAAATGTGGTGACCAGTTTAGTATGATAGAAAGCGTTTACAGTCTTCAAATAACCACAATAGACAGAGTGAGGGGCAATACCGAATAAGGCGTGATTCCGGCGTTTCATACTAAATGCTTTCTATTAATAATTTCACTTTCAAATAATATTCATGAGATACATGTATGTCTACGTCATAATCTCGTGAAAGGTTATTAGCATATTGTGTATGTAGTGTGCATGCTTTAAGCTCTTATTCCATATTTCACAACTCATGCGTCATCACAGTGAGGTCAATTGCAATTTACGTTACATTCAACGTCAATGCGTTTCACCACATCGTATTCGAAGCCCACACATAAGCGATGCTACCAGATATATACAATAGCTAACAAGCCACACCAACCCACCGACTGCTGAGAATTTCTACACACTCCCACCGTGTCATACGCTGTAATATGCAATTATAATTCTGGTTTCCCCATAACTCTGGGTCCCATAATATCCAATGTATGTATGAAAATTAGTTTGAACAAAATCCATCCATACACGAGATCAAGTTCTTGAATTGCAGAAATGATTTTATGGATGTTTCTAGCCATCTAGAATTGAATGGTGAAACGAATGGATGTGCATATGTATCCCAAGATGTATGATGTATGTGTGAAGTTTGAATGTCATTGGCCTAGAAATGACCAAGAAACGGGGAAATATCCTAAGGCCAGTTCCTATTTTCAGACTGCATCCACATGAAAAGAGTATAAATCTAATGTGCTATGTTAATAACTTTAGAAAACTAAATGTACCTCAACCATAGATCCCACACTCCTTGTTGCACTAGTTATGACATATAACAGACATATGCAGTGTTCTTTAGCTTCATGTTCAAGTGGAATAAACCTAATTGTCCAATGTTCGGTCCTGGGATTGAAGAATGTGATGCCATTTTTCCTGTCAGAAATAAAACATATTGCCATTGAGAGACGTCATACCAACAAGAGGATCACGTCCAACAAATTTGGCATGCACAGATCACTACTTGAGATCAACTGTGACAATGTTGCCCAATCATGCATATATTTAATAACAGCGAACAACCATTCTTATATCTTTGGGTATAAAGACTGTTCATTTATAGGGATAAATAGGTACATTATTTGAGGGGAAAAAAAATCAACAAAATTTTCACGACCATTTTCAACTTAGTTTTATTGGCTGTCAATGTATATTACTCATTGTGAATTACAGGATTGAAGGACTAGTAGGAATTGTAATCTTGGCAGTTCACCATAGAAATTTGCAGGTCCTGTACCTCAAATGATTTTTCCCACCCCTACTTTCGGTGCTTCACTTCACAAGAAATGAGGTAAGTGGTAAGGTACAATTCTAGTTAAAATCAGCGTAGAGTGGAAAACCTGGAATGTG